TTTTTTTTTGGCTTTTTCGTACGGGGGTGTACAAGACGTACAGGTTCCCGTATAGATCCCGTACAGAAATAACTTGTACGTTTCGTACGGGAAGCCCCCGTACATGTACTCTATGCAACGTAGGTCTCAACCATAGACCAGATACATGTAGCGGGTCCGGCGTTCTCGGAACGCCAGACCCCCAAGAGCAAAAAATTCCGACCGTATTTTGGCAAAAAAAGTCTGTTTTGATTTCGTTCAAAAAATACAATATGTCCGTTTTGACGAAATGGTTGTTCTAAGCCCCAGTTCGACTGGGATAAGAAGGTGCTCAAGCATAAGTTGCTCGATGGCCGAACTGTCAGATTGACCAAGTTCAAGGCCAGTAGCATTATAGATACCTATGGCAGCTTATGCGCATCAGTGTTCTACAATTACTATAAGCAAAACCAAGAGGAGAGTATGTACCTTGTGTATGTCTCTGAGAAAGGGGAGGTCGTTAAAACACCCCCAAAGATAGAACGCGTCGTTGCTAAGTTCCCTGATCTGTTCGAGGAGCCCACAGGAGTTGTTGACAGGGAATTTGTCCACGCTATAGAAATCATTCCAGGGAGTAAGACCCCAAAGCGAAGGATCTATAGGATGACTCCCGCCGAGTTAGATGAACTTCGGCAACAACTTAAGGAGCTGACAGAGAAGGGATGAATTCGGCCTAGTACTTTCCCTTACGGATCACCAGTTCTATTCGTACCGAAGAAGGGGGGTACTTTGAGGATGTGCATTGACTAAAGAGGCCTCAAAGTCATCACAGTGAAGAACGCAGAGGCTCTACCTCACATAAACGACCTATTGGATAGGGCGCATGGATGCAAGTACTATAGTAAGATAGACTTGAAAACCGGATATCATCAGATCGCAATAAAACCTGAGGACCAACACAAGACAACCTTTCAGACCAGATACGGTCTGTATGAGTTTGTAGTGATGCCCTTTGGTCTTTGCAATGCRCATGGTACATTCCAGCACGCTATGAATCGGATCTTCCATGACCACTTAAATAAGTTTGTCGTGGTATACCTAGATGACATTCTGATCTTTAGCAAGTCTGCCGAGGAGCATGCAAAGCACGTTGAGACTGTACTCTCACTTCTGCAACAGCACGAGTATAAGGTCAACTTAGAGAAGTGTGAGTTCGGTCGCACTAAGATACTATACTTTGGTCATGAAGTATCCGCGGAAGGGATTAGGCCGGAGGATGCGAAGGTGGCTAGTATTCGAGACTRGCCATGACCTCAGACTGTCAGAGGTCAGATCTTTCTTAGGGATGTGCGRCTACTATAGGAACTTCGTAAARAACTATTCTACAGTCGCCTCTCCTTTGACTGATCTAACTCGACTTGACACRCCGTGRGACTGGAATGATGAGTGCGAGGGTGCTTTCAAAAGATTGAAGCATGCACTCATGARTCATRAGGTTCTCATGGTTCCCGATCCTCAGAAGCCATTCATAGTGACCACTGACGCAAGTCAATACGACATTGGCGCAGTGCTGGCTCAACAGGATGGGAAAAAGTTGAGACCGATTGAGTATATGAGCAAGAAGATGCCATAAAAGAAGTTGGCAAAGTCCACCTATGAAAGAGAACTGTATGCTCTAAATAAAACACTTGTCCATTGAAGACACTTTCTATTGGGAAGGTTCTTCTACTTGAGGAGTGATCATCAGACCCTCAAGTGGATCAAGACTCAATCGGTTTTTTCTGATGCACTCAAGCGATGGATTGAGGTCATAGACCAGTATGACTTCAAGCTTGAGTATCTGAAGGGAGAGTATAATAAGGTTGCTGATGCGCTATCACGTAGAGCAGACTACCTAAGTGTGCTAGTTTTTGACTTTGGCGTATCTGATGAAATAACTCAATCGATGATGGGAGCCTATCAGGAAGACCCTGACACGATGGACATCATTCGCAAACTTCAGGCAAAAGACAAGGCCACGGAAATCGAGTTTATGATGGTGGATGGGCTCCTCTATCTTGATAAGGCCGGAATAAAAAGATTAGTAGTTCCATCTAGTGAACCTTTGCGTAGTTTGTTCTTAAGAGAATGCCATGACGCAACGGGACACTTCGGCTACAAGAAGACGGGTGCTAACCTAGTACAGCGATATTGGTGGCCAAGAATGTTAGATGACGGAAAAAAGTACGTAGAGACCTGTCAGGTTTGTCAGCGGGACAAGCCGCGAACTCAAGCACCGCTTGGGTTGTTGAAGCCTTTGCCTATTTCTGCTGATCCAGGACAGAGTGTTTCCATGGATTTCATGGACACCCTGGTGACTAGTAAGAGTGGCAAGAGGCATATATTCGTCATCATCCATCGATTCACCAAGTACGCTAGACTAGTGGCTATGCCAGAGACCGCAAGAACTGACTATGTCATCAAGTTGTTCAAAGACAACTGGGTGCGTGACTTTGGTTTACCAAAGTCAATTGTTAGTGATCGAGACGTCCGATTCACAAGTGAGTTGTGGAAGAAGACTGCAGAATAGATGGGCAGTCAACTTCAGATGACTTCAGGGAATTATCCCGAAGCCAACGGAGAAGCCGAGCAAATAAACAGAGTTGTACAGCACTTGTTGAGGCATTACATCAAGCCCAGCCAGGATGATTGGGATGAGCAGTTGCCTCTCATCGCCAGCCTGAAAAAACAATGCTGTCCACTACAGTACCGGCGTTAGTCCTAATCAACTTCACTTGGGATGGAAGCCTAGATCAGCATTAGACTTCCTCCTACCTGAAAACCGACCCGCTGCAACTCCAGGCACCCTTGAATATGGTGTGCAGTATAAGAAGTTGCTGCAAGAAGCTATCTAGCACATGAAGAAAGCTCAGCAAGCCATGATTGCTTCTGGGAATCAGCACCATAGACAATCCACATTTCAGGTAGGGGAACGTGTCTGGGTCAAGGCTAGTGAGTTAGGACAGGAATTCAGAATCTCTTGCAAACTAATGCCTCAGTACTTTGGTCCCTGGGAAGTCCTGGATATAGTGGGAGATGAGATGAATGACCCCACACATGTCATTCGTGTCCTTGGACACCTACGCACTCACCCAGTCTTTCATGCCTCAAAGCTTGCACCTTTCGCTGAGACAGATCAATTCCCTTCCAGGAGATCGATGCTGCCCCCAACCATGGATGGTCAAGTGGACATCGACGACATTGTGGATTACAGGGACATGCCTGTTCCAAAGCCGCTGGGTCGAGGAAGACCTCCTAAGCCCAAGAGAGMGTATCRCGTCAGATTCAGGCATCATACGGATCCAAAAGAAGATCGGTGGTTTACCAGAGAGGACCTGATTGAGACAGCTCCTCAGGTGGTGGCAGAATACGAGAGACTGCTGAAAGGGAAGGCACCTGCGAAGTAAGCATCTCAACGGACTTTGGAAGCTAAGGGGGATGGAATATGAGGATTGAGCCCTAAAGAAGGGGCCTTGCCATGATGTACGTGTTCTAGGCTAAGGCCCCAGCAAGCCTAGTACCCGCCCTAAGTGAAGGCGGGTCAGCAAATCAACAAGAGCCCTCAGAATCTGTGCAAACATTTCCCGAAGTGGGGTCCATACAGTTGCAGCACGCCAGTTGGTTGGAGTGCACCGAGTCTCGAATCTCTACAAATGTGGAGAACCCAGGGCCTCTGAGTTAGTTAGGCCCTGGGCACCTGAACGTGAGGCCGACAATGCATGCTGGGTATAGAGGCCGAAAATGCCAAAGGAAAATCGGCCCACTATCTGAATCTGGCCGCAAGCCTGGATGAAAGAGGCGCAACTGCATTGCCCCGGGCCTCAACTGTATCGAGCTGGGTTCAGCCACTGGGCCCCAGTCGCAGGCTGAAGGGAGGCCGCCCACACGCAGCACTGGCATATAGGCAAGCAAGGCGAGTGGGCAGGCAATTTTTGGCCAATGCAGGCATTGCGGCTGTGTGTGCATGCGAGGTGCTGCGCTGCACTGGGATGAGGCAGGCTAGCGCTAGGCGGTAGGGCGCTGCCTGTGCACTGGGCGCTTAGCGGCTATAGCCGGCTATAGCCGAGCTGCATAGGGCACACAGGGGAGGTGAAGGGCGCTGTATGGGTAACAAGGAAGAGTGTGGGTGAAGAGGACACGTACCTGGTGGAGGTGGAGGCCGGCATTGGTGTTGACATCATCACTTGCTGGTAGTCAAGTTGTCTGGTTGCTTTCATTGCTGTAGTTGTAGGCTTAGTCTGTAGAGTAGATAGGGCGCCTGGCGCCATTCATAAGAGAGAGCTACATTGGGTTATGCTGTTGGTTTTGCCCTGTTGGGCATGGACATTGACTCACGATTCTTTTGTATCATTCTCAATTGGATTGTTACTCGGTTCCATTGTACTATTTGCTCTGGCTTGGACTACTTGGACTTCAGTGTGATTTTGCATTCCGGATTTCTGCGCTTCGTTCATATTCATGTTCCTTGCAGTTACCTTATATTTTGACATTTGACGAGTATCCTACAGACTAGGTTAATTACAATTTGGTATCGGAGCTTACCTTCTTCATCGTGATCTGTTGTCAGGCGCCGAGGTGGCACCCACAAAAGTGGGGAGTGTCGCGCGATTGGAAAGTGTTTATAAACGCCCGCGATGATAATCGCGGGCTAGATATTGACTGCCACGCGCGCATGTTCCCTTGAAGATGATGACATGGACTGACGACGGCGACATTGGCTACACGGCGCGGTGTTGCTGACATGGCGATCAGGTAGCTGCGAGAGCATCGTTGGCTCCAGGCTGACGTGGCACTGGTGGAAGAGAGAGAAAGAGAGAGAGAGAGAGAGAGAGAGAGAGAGAGAGAGAGAGAGAGAGAGAGAGAGAGAGAGAGAGAGAGAGAGAGAGAGAGAGAGAGAGATTGGGGTATTGGGACTGTTGACGTGGCGCGCTGACATGGCGCACGGGTACCGATGTGGCAACCAGGGATTGGCAGGGTGATGCCTACATGGCATGGTGCAGGGGTGCTGACGTGGCATCCAGGGATTGGCTGTGTCCCAGTATGTCGCAACTTACCTGCTCCCGTGGCACTCCACACCGTGACTCCATAATCCAGAGGTACTTTGATCTGACGTGGCATACCTGTGGTGGATGATCCGGCAGTTGGCACATTGCTGACGTGGCATCGTTCTTCACGGCCTATTGGCCATTGAACGCTGACAGGGTGACTCCGTAGAGGTTTTGCATTGGCATGCCAGGGTGACATATGGCAGCGGGCATGCCTTGTCGCTGGTGAGAAGTTGGTACTTGCACTTGCATGCTGGCAGCGGTACCGTTTCACGATTGGTTATAGAGCCACATGCCGACCCTTGGGTCTGGCCTCATTGGTTTATGCAGATGGTGCAGCTGAAGAGGAAAGGATGCTGACAATTGATTGTTATAGTTATGTTGGCCGACTTACTCACATGTCTAGGTTGTTCTATGGTTGCCGTGCATACTCGCATGTGTTATTGTGTCTTGATCACACTGGTCGTGGTTGGGGTACCTGTGCACTCTCATTAGGACGTCATCACACATAGGACAGAGTCCGACAGACAGCAGAAGTTAGAAATAGGAGTAAATTGAAATTCGTTCCTTCTTTATTTTTGTTATTTATTTCTTGCTCTAGGAGAGTGAAATTGGGTCACGGCGGGTGTGACCGTGAAATTTATTATTGTCTTGTAATTATTTATTGTGCGGCGAACACACATTGTGAAAATGTCTTGCTCGTGTCTCTCTATCTTGACTCACTTCATCCCTCTGTTTCTCTTTCTTGTCTCTTTCACCTTCTTTGTTGATGAGGAATGTGGCGAAGTAAGAACACGTGGCCAAATTGTAACCTGTGTTGCACCCAGTACGTCGTACAGGGCTCTGATCGTAGTGACGGTCGTATGGCCGTATGAACGGTCCCGTACAGACTGACGAAACCCTCCCAAAAAAAAACGAAAAAAATAATTAAAAAATATGCGGATGTAAAGCTTTTCGTGCTCTACACCCCCATATTTTTTATTTTATTTTTTGGTCTTTTTTATATTTTTGAAGTATAAAAATAATCAAAACGGGAAAAAAAAATAAAGAAATAAAAATGAATTCATTAATTGATTGATTGATTGATTGATTGATGTGCGAGGCCTATGCCCCTATGAGCCCCTTTCAGGCCCTGCCAAGTATCACGTCGACCGCCCTAAGTAAGGGCAGGCACGACGAGGGCCTGAGGGCCCCTATTTTGGTCACCACGCAACTCAAGTAAATTCAGGCAGTTGCACAGTGCCAGTTGTTTGGAAGAACCCACGCCCTGGGCAGCCTGTTTTTGACACTGTTTGAATGTATCGAAGGCAGGCACTGGACTGGATACGGGATGTGGACCTCACACAGGTCATTGACAGTTGGGCACGAGCAACCACTACAGGCCCACGATATGAGTTGTGTGGACTGGGCCTCAGCCTACCGGGGCCTACTGGAAGCTTCTTGGGAAAGGTCCATCGCAGCCTGGGACAGCAAGCAGGCAGACCACTTCCATATAGCAAAGGGCCTGCCTCCGCATTGGAGATTCGGGTCCTGGCTGCATGATGCGCAAGCGTTGTTGCGCTGAAGCTGGTTGGCGCTCACGCGGTCACGGGCGAGCAGGAAGGAGCAGGCAGCCATAGCCGAGTTGCGCTGCTGTAAGCTGGGTGTGGCGCAGGGTGGTCCTTGGGTGCAAGTGGCATCTGTGTGTTTGGGAACGAGGTTGTGAGTGAGGCGAGAGACATACCTGGTGCTGGAAGCGTGCRACATYGGTCGATGTATGCTCGTACTTCGGGGAAGCTGTTSACGTCATCTTCGGYATTGTAGTCTAGGCTAGATAGGATCTGCCATCTGTAGTCTGGGCGCCGAGCGCCAGATAGGATATCAACATTGGTTCTTCATTGATGGTGATGAGACTTTACCAACATTGTCAATTATGAGCTCTTGGTGTGTTCTTATTTGCTGAAACTCGTGATGCAATTTTGTTGTTGATTCGAGGTCACGACTATCTGGTGTTGTGTATATGATGTTGTTTGATTGATGAAGTTCGCTATTGCTCATCTTCCTTGCAATTTGGTATCAGAGTTGTGGCACGATTGCGCTTATCTGGCGCTTGTCTTCTGCCTAATGCAGTACATACATGTGGTATGCTTGGTAAGTTGGGCCGTAGGTAGTGTGTAGTGAGGAGGGCAGAGAGACTATCTGGTGTGTAGTGAGATGGGCCGCCGGAGACAAGTAAGAGGCGACCCAGGAGGTGAGGGGATTGCCAGAAAGGCTACGTGATGTAATGTGGATTTGGACAGTGTGATGAGAACTATCTGAAGACTGATGTGCGATTAGTGTTGAGGTGGCACGGCGTGCAATGCTGGTTGTGCTGAAGCAATGACTGGTCATCACAATCGGCGTCAGGTTATCTGGTGAGATTATCTTTGTGATTGGGGGCAGTTGTTTGAGGTACGTTACTCTTAACCTCATCTACCCTCTTCGACACTTCTTACCGTGAGGTTGTGTGTTCCTTCTTGAGAGTCCTCTCATTGTRARGTGTCGAGTGCGTTCGACCTTGAGAGTCGACAATGTTCACGTTGAGCATCTGGGAGAAGATGGGCGGAGCTTTCTGGAGGGCCCTGGACGAAGCACTGGGTCACGATCACCATGCCAACCCACCGGGAGTAGAGCACGCATGCTTTGCTGCTTGTCCTTTGTTCGGCTTGCTGCGGTGTTAGATGGGTACTGAAGGGCAGGCCAACCCTATGTGGGAGACGAGACCGGGCGTCTTTAAATAAGCACCGGAAGGGGAAACCATTGGCTGTGATCGTCGTCCTGCTGCGACGTAAAGTAATTCCTGATGACACTTGGGGGCGGTCGTTAAATTGCGTCTGGATCAGCCAGTGGTTGTAAGGCTCGTGCACACGAGGATAAACATAGTGCAAGGTTGGCCAGCTCAGCAGCTACTCGGGGCACAGCGGTGGGCCGTGCACACCTTTAGTCACGCACTGCTCTCTGGATAGCTCAGGGACGCTACGTCAAGTGACATTCAGGAGAACTAAGGGAGGGGTAGATTTCAGGTGATAAGTTTGAGAAAAATTCCATATTGTCCTCATCCACACAAATGATTCTATTTTTATGTTTTGATTAGTTAGATGTACAGCCATTTAACATCTGACAGACAACATAATTAGAACTGTCTCTAATCATTGTGCATTTTGTTCGCGGACTAATCAGATTAAAAATAGTTTCGTTTGTAGGAATCTGACTTACCTGTTGGGCCCGAGTGTACGTTCTCTGTTATAGCCATCAATTAATTTTATTGGTTTGCGCATTACACTGCGGTAGGCATCTAGAGTGTATTAGTGGAGATTGTGTGYAGTGTTGTAGCTTATGAGCGATAGGAAGGACACTAGAGAGGACGACCGGCTCTTGCGTTCACGTAGCTGTCCGATCACCCACTTGGCTTTAGGACCAGAGGGCGACCGATATCTGTTCCGCCAGCTTAGAGAGAGGCAGCAGCAGAAGAGGAGGGCTAGAGCAGCGGAGGCTAGCAGGGCGCTCGTAAGTGAAGCCGCAGCTTTAGAAGCAATGGCTACCTCTGCGCAGCAGACTTCTCAGGCAGGTAGTTCAGCATCTTTAGGGTCAACAAACTCTGCAGGGTCTATCGACTTTGTAGGGTCAACAGGCTCTATAGGGTCAACGGTTGCGCAACCTTTGAGTCGGTCCGCTGGTGTTATGGCAAGCCAGCCATTAGTGATGACTCCCGAGGATGTCGCCATACAGCGAGCTGCTGCTCGCGAGGCACAGCTACAACAGGCTGTCAGGCCTTAGGAGAGATTAAGGCTGAGAAAGAGAGAATGATTAGGAGAAGGGCCAGGATGCAGCGGACACAAGAGGACGTTAGTGAGTTGGAGGAGATTGACCTAGCAGAAATGGAGGATGATGTGAGAACCATTCGGTCGGTCCTGTTAAGTGTAGTGGAAATGCAGGATCACCAGACGGAGATCTTACAAGACATCAAACAGAGTCTGGGTGTGTTAGTCGGACGGATGCAGGTGTCACCATCACCGTCCGGGCCAGGTGTCTGGCCCGTTGCACATCCTCCTCCTTTTGTCCCACCAGTGACTGGGGTATCCCCATATACAGCCCCATCATCGATTAAGACCGTTTCCCTCGGCATACCGTTATCAGGAGGGCTCTCAGCAGGTCCTAGTTTGCAGGTTCCTGTACAGCCAGTGTATTCCCAACCTCTGTTGCAGATTGCAGTTACAACGCAACCTGTTGTCTCGCAGCCTGTACAGCCGCATGGTACATAGCCCCTGCAGCCAGTGCAGCCGCCTATATCATAGGGTCCACAGCCCAGTGGGATGCAGGGACCGGGGCAAACTCAGTGGGTACCAAAGACGGTCATCGCCGCTCTTAAACCCTTCAGAGGGGAGAAGAGGGGTGAAGACCTCGACACTTGGTTGAGGGCAGTGTCGGTCTATGTCAAGTGTAAACTCACCTTGCCGCACGAGGAAGTGTTTGTGGCTGCATCTTACCTAGAGGGTAGTGCAGCAAGATGGTTGAGTGGTTTAGTACAGCTGCAGGGATACGGTCATGACTTTCGCGCTTGGGCGGTCACCCAGCAATTGGATGACTTCCTCAAGTTGGTGGAAGAAAGGTGGCATGATCCTTAGGAGGCCCAAAAGACCACTGATGCGATCCTGACCCTGCACACGAGGCAGTTCAAGTCAGTGAGGGAGGCCACCGATGCTGTAGAGCGCCTGTAGGGTGCGCTATGACCCCCAACTTGAAACTCACCTCCTACCTAAGATGCTTTCCTATGCCTCTCAGGAATCAGTAGGCAGGTGAGGCCAACATCAATGTTCACAACTTTCCCTCGTTTAGCAAGAAGGCCCTAGACCTTGAGGCGAAGATAGGGCATGGGCAGGCACCCACTACGGATGGTAGGAGAAAGTCACTGTCTCCCAACTGGAAGGCAAAAGGTCGCATTATTTTTGTCGATAACGATGGTTCAACCATTGAGTTAGACGACAACTTCGAGGAGGGAGTAGGTTAAGAGGCTGGCAGCGTTGAAGCTTCAGGGGGTGGAGTTCCCTCTGTCGTAGCTTAGAAAGGGTAGGCGACCAGTAGACGCTGAGGAGGCTCCCGGTCAAGGAGTCAAGTTGACCCCAACGCTCCCCCATGGGAGACGGCGGGTCTGACCGAGGACATGTGGAGAGATCAGTACACACGGCATGCTTGCATTCGTTGTGGTCAATACAGCCATAACCAATTCAAGTGTCGTAGTAATAAGAAGGTGACACCACCAAACCAGCTATGGTGGAGGGATATCAAGTTAGGAAGAGCGAACCGGCTATGGCGAATGCAAATCTAGCCACGAAGAGCGAGCTACGAAGAGCGAAGAGCGAACGGGCTATGGCGGAAGGAGGTGGGGGCTGAAGACAAAATATCAGAACGCGCGTGGAAGCGATAGCGCGACTTGACCTGTTGAGCGACAACAAAAGGGATGACGCGAGGGCAGCAACGTCTTTTATACTTTCCTGCAGCAGGCCTCGCGTCCGGATCAAGGTGGGTCCATCTCGATTCGCATATCGCACGCCTGGGCCCACAAAACGACAGGACCTATAAACGGGTAAGAGGTACTGGAAATTGTCAGCCGTCGATCAAAAATTTTGAACGGCGCAGATGAACGGACCCAGTGACATGCCAGTGGCTCCAAAATCTCAGCCAACTCCGGCATGCAATGATGTGACAGTTTCATAAAGCAAGAGGCAGGCAAGGTCATTTTCGCACTTGTAATCTGGACCGTCGATCGGAATGATCCGACGCACGAGGTCAGGCGCAAGAATCTACAAGGCGCGGCGATTCGTTGTGCGCCAAGGCGGTTCATTGCGCGTCGAGGCCAGGTGACGGTTTATTTCGCGCCGAGGCGCGACGATTCGTTGTGCGCCTAGGTCAAAAACACCGAAAATGTATAAGTTCCGGTGTCGCTGTCATTCGGACATTTTGCAAATATCAACGGCGTTGGATATCGATGCGCTTAGCCATGAACCATCGCCATCGATGCGCTTAGCTCATCGCAAACGCCAACGCTCGCCACGCACCATCGCCATCGATGCGCTTAGCTCATCGTCATCGCGACGCAAAGCTTTATCCCCCATCGCAGTCATCGCGCTTGCCTGACAATCGTCATCCCTCCCATCGCAGCGCTGGCCATCGTCATCGCTGCCATCACAGCCCTGGCCATTGTAACGCATTCTATCGCTGCGCCATCTTTCTCATCGGTACTCCATCCCTCTCCATTGATGCGCCATCGCTCTCCACCGCAGTGCTGGCCATCCCCCATTGCAGTCGTCGCGCTCGCCTGACCATCGCAGCGCTTACAATCGCCATCACTCCCACCGCAGCGCTGGCCATTGTAACGCGTTCCATCGCTGCGCCATCTTTTTCATCGTCACACCATCTCTCTACGTCGGTGCGCCATCGCTCTCCACCGCAGGTCTGGCCATCGCCATCGAAGCCCTGACCAGTGTTATCCTATCGCAGCGTTGACCAACACTATCGCTGATTTGTTGGGCGCCTTGGTGCCTTCGCGATCTCTTCTCCATCGCTGCGCGATTTCTCGTCATCGCTCCTGCGCAATCTCTCTCCATCGTCGCACGATCTCCCTCCATCGCTGAGTGATCGCTCTCCATCTCACTCCATTACTGCGCGATCTCTCTCGACCACCGAGCAACCTCCATCCTTGTGCCACAGGCTCTCCATCACTCATGCGCGATCCCGCCATCGCCATTGTATTGTTGTTTCAGGCGGTCGTCGGTGCATCCGCCCATCACTGTGCAATCGCATGAAACAAGCGACAGGTATGCTTAACGAAGGTTCAACGCGATGGATGTCACTTAATAATGGAACTAATGTTGTGCAATAACAAATCTTGGTCATCGATTCGGCAACTCTTTCCATCGATGCGCCATCGCTAAGCATCGATGTGCCTTCTCTCTCCATCGCTGTGGCATCGCCAACCATTGTTGCACGTCCTCTCTCCATCTCTCTCCACTGGTTCGCGATCTCTACCGACCTTTCGTAATCTATCTCCATCGCTGCACTATCTTTCCTAATCTATCTCCTTCGCCATCTAATCTCATCGCTGCGCTATCTTTCCTAATCTATCTCCTTCGTCATCTATCTCCATCGCTGCGCTATCTTTCCTAATTTATCTCCATCGCCGCGCCATCTGTGTCCTTCTCTCTCCTTCGTTGCGCCATCTCAACAGAAAAAATGTGACAATTTTTTTGCCACGTTGAACCTATGTTGACACCACATTTCAACTGTTTATAAACCGTTGGCCGGGGGGGGGGGGCATGTGTTCAACACAAACTGAAGGAAACCAACACTGACCGTATATTGGGGACACTGAAACTTGTGTGTTCAACTATTGGATCAACTGTTGACAGACTGTTGGTCCAACTGTTGATCCATTGTTGGTAGCTTGTTGAAATCTTGTTGAAGAGTTGTTGAAGAGTTGTTGAAACCTTGTTGAAATGTGTTGAAACGTGTTGAAAGTGTGTTGGAATGAGTTGAAATATTTTGGACCGTGTTGAAACAGGACGTGTGCAATAGCAGTTTCGGTTACGGGTCATTTGCGTTGTCCGGGGGTGGGTTGTAGCTGTGTTTTCCTCGTTTAAGGACTGGGCACGTTTTGGAGTACGAAGATCAAATGGACGAGCGTTGGGTTTGCGCGCGCCGACCGGGCACGTGATGATTGCAGTGACTGATGGAATTGAGGGATCAGAGAGAGAGAGAGAGAGAGAGAGAGAGAGAGAGAGAGAGACGGAGTCTAAGAGAGAGAAAGAGATGCTGTAGGCTGCCGACGAACACATTTCGGGCCTCGTACAAACAAGGTTGACTTTCGGTGTCCGACGAACACATTTCGATTAAATGTTGGGCTGCCCTCGTRCARACAAGGTTGACTACTGCGGGCCGAAAATTGTCCAACACGGCGGTGTCCGACACAATTTGGCACGCAGTAGCCAACCTTCCTTTTCTGTGCCCCTAAGATTGTTGTGCGTGGGGAGCCGAAGTCCACGTCACCCTGCCCTGCAACAAACACTTTTCACCACAGGTTGACAAAATTTTTGGACTTATTCTCTCACGTGTACGGAGAAGACGTGGGAGACCGTCGATTAAATGCTGGGCTGCCCTCGTACAAACAAGGTTGACTACTGCGGGCCGCAAATTGTCCAACACGGCAGGGTCCGTCACATTTTGGCACGCAGTAGCCAACCTTCCTTTTCTGTGCCCCTAAGATTGTTGTGTCCCATTCTATATAAGGCGATTTGGCGTGGGGAGCCTCAGTCCACGTCACCCTGCCCTGCAACAAACAAGTCTCACCACAACTTGACAAAACACATTGTCGTGTCATGTTACCATTACAGAGTCAGCCGCACACACCACTCAATCTCACAAAGATTAGCATAACAAATGTTTGTACAATTGTGTATCAAAAATAACAGAAGTTGTGTAGTTATCAGACTGTATGGAGCATACGGCTCGCAATCCTCAGGCGGTGCACGTGCGTGCAAGCACTCGCTCTCTCTCTCTCTTCTGCAAAACTGAAGGTCTTCATATCTTTCTCTCTCTCTCTCTCTCTCTCTCTCTCTCTCTCTCTCTCTCTCT